ATTAGCAAGGAGAAGCATGTTTTTTGAGGTGAAGAAATGATAATCAAGTGATCAGAAACAGAAAGGGTGGATAGCACAGGCAGAATAATAACACATTTTATTGCATGCTATGAAAAAAAAAAAATACAAAATCTGAACTGCATGCTACAAATCATGCTTTTCATAAAATAAATGAAGAAGAAATGAGAGAGGCGTGATTAGAAGAGGAGAAAATGAAGGCAAGTGTGTGTTTTAAGGTAAAAGGAGTGATAATGAAGTGATGAGAAAAGGGTGGAGAGTGACGCGCCAAGGAAAGAGCCGACCACATGACGAAAGCCGCCCGCCATGCACGGCCTCCGTACTCTGCATCTGCATCATCCCATGTATTCACTCTCAAGACTAAAGCTCTACTTTTATTTATTGAAAAAATTACGTTTAAGTCTCAATCTAAATATCACAGCTAAGTCCGAATGTAATTTGAAATTAAAAAATAAAAATAATATTATTCATGTTAAAAATATATTTAACTTATAATTATAAAATTTTAAAATTATAGTTATAAAGTATTGATAAAATGATTGTAAATAATTAATGTTAAATTTTCTTAATAATGTAAGAACAGTTTAATTATTAAATATGTTAAATTACAGTTATAAAATATTAGAGTGACAGTTGTTACACTTGTGATGCATAATCAGTTAAACTATTGGATATATAAAATTATAATTATAAAAATTTAAAATTATAATTATAAATTACTAATTGGAGACAATCTTATTAAAAATAAAGTCGATATTAAAGTGGGCACTTCTCTTAACAAGCATTTGAATATTGATTTATTATATTAAGAGGCTAGCCTCTTCTATTATATCTAAGTTATATTGGTTCAAGACTTTCTTTTAGGAAAAATCACTACAAAAGTCTTATATACAGATTTTTTTTTTTTTTGCAAATGCCTTATATAGGGATTTTAATTACCACAAGATCCCATAAACTGTATAAATTACCCTTAAGTTCCAAATCCTTTATTTATTAATTAATTTCATGTATAATTATTAAAATAACTTTATTGTACACCCTTTTATAAAAAAAAAAAAAAAAGTGAACCCGTCGCTGGTCATCAGAGCTCTATGAGTGCTCTGGCAGCCAACCGGATGATGACAGGAATTGTTTAGAATTTCGACGATTGCTAGAGCTCTACCTACTTAGCAAATTAATTATGATGGGACTTTTTTTTTATAAAAAAGAATAAAAATATTTTAGTAATCATATATATAAAATTTATTAATAAATAAACGACTTGGAACTTAAGGGTAATATGTACATCTCATGAGACCTTAAACCTTATGATAATCAGAATCCTACCAAGGACGTTGCAGTGATTTTCTTCTTTTAACATTCTAAGTGCCGTCTTCTCTCCGACACCTGTCTTTCTAAAACCACTATGGGCTTTGGTTTAGTTGCAGTTTGTAGTGTAAGTGGTGGTGTAGCTTCATCTAACTTGTCATCACCCACCTCACTTTCACCTCTTCTCTCTGCTTACTTGCTCCTCAAATTCCATCTATCATGTTATTTACGTAATGCTATTACCAATATTATATCTCATCATCGCTTTTTAAAGTTTGGTATAGTACAACAAATATATCATTTTGACGGAAAGTGTTCAAGTTTGCTGTGTTTCCTCAATTTTGAAAGTCAACAAACTGGTTTCGTTTCCATTTATAACAGTAACACCACTTTATGTTCTCTTGACCCCCCCCCCCCGCAAAAAAAAAAAAAAAAATCACTCTTTTACTTTGCATGTGTTTCTGTGCTTCTAACGTCGCTCGCATGCTTAATTAAACATTCAAACATGGCTTCCCCAAAAAATGGCAAACTTTTTACTTCTCATCTGACCCCGCAAATTGTCTAGGATGAAAAATTATGGACTTAGTTTGATTTTTAAAAAAATATATTAAAAAATATTTTACAAACTACTTTTAAAAAATTATTTTTCAAAACAGAATAAAAGACAAAATTATTTGAATATGTTAGTTTTAATCACAGTTTGAGTTAAAAAGTTTGGTCGATGATGCCTATCCTAAGTAGTGGTTAATGGCAATGACTATCTAAAATAGTTAATGGTGGCCAATAGTAGTGGTGATAGTGGTCATGATGCCTATCTTAGTAAATTTCAATAGTTAAACGTAATGTGTTTTAAAAATAAAAAAAGAAAATATTTTTAAAAAGGAAATCAAATAGGCCCCATATTTTTTGTGCTTGAAAATAATATGTTTCCAACCTGTTATGCAATATACAAATCATATTATTTGTGATTTCATAAATATTGTACTTTATTATATGACATATGCCGATAAAATGAATGGAAAATACTCCTTTTTTATCATGTTATCTGAATAAAAACAATTGTTTCGTCAAGTCCTGTGTAATTATATTTTTTTTATTGTAGCATATAAAAACGAAGCCATTTGAGAGTTGTTCAAGTGTAAAAGATGAAGTGAATTGTGGGGAGAAGTCCTGATTCAAGTTAATTTCAGGATAGAGCATTAAAAACAGGAGAAAATAAAAGTATTTATTGAAAAATAATATAATACCGACATATCATATCAAAGATAGATAAAATTCTCTCATGATCATATAAAATCTTGAAATGTTACGGTTGCCCTCAGCTAGTAGTTTATTTAACGCGTTTTTACACAGTAAACCAAACAAAGTCACCCATTTTTGTCTTCACTATGGGCTTCAGCGGTTCAGCCTCCAATTCTTTTTTTTTTTTGGGCCAATAATTGTGAACTTCCGAGTCCCCGACGTTCTTTACTATTCTTTCTTTCTTTCTTTCTTTCTTTACGAGCCAGGTTAAATTACCAGTCTATCCTTACAAGAATCAAATATCTTTCTCTAGGACGATGATGAAGATTGAGGAAGATGATTAGAACCTTAGTTTCCATTATCATATGATATAACCTTTGTGTTTGGTGGGATTTTGCAATTCAGACTTTAGAACGTTTATATTGGATCCTTCAAATTTATTTATAATTTGTATCAACATACTGAAAAATTGAATCGGTCAAGAAAATGAATCAAAAGTTGGTGATTCAATCCAAGGTCAACCTAAAATCAAACTGTTTTTAATTAAAATAATATAATTTAATTTATATACGTAAAAATATTCACATTTGAATATAAAAAAATGAATATTTAAATAAAAATCATTAGTTCTACTTAAATTACCTAACAAAAAATCAATAAATGAGAGAAAAATCTTATATATGTAAGCACAATACCAACAAAAATTCAACAAACTCAATAAAATCTTAATAAAAATTGAATATTTTTTCTTACACAAATGGACCTGGTTAATCAGGTCACCTCTAAGTTACAATCAAGTTGTTTGGTCACTCATGAATTGATTGGGTTATCGATTGAATCGACTGGTCTAAATTTTTATTCATTAGTTTGTACATGACAATGTATGACATAAATTTAAGGAGAAAAAAGTTATCCAAGCTTACAATTTGATTATTAGCACCAATAACTAGGGTTATTCTTTCTTTCTTTCTTTCTTTTTTTTTTACTCAAGATGACGCTACAACTACCAATCATGAAATTAATATTTTGACAAAATAATATCAACCAAGCACAACGGTTGAACTCTTGAGCATTTTAGAAAGATTTCAACTCTATTAGAATGCGGGGTTTACTAAAATCAATATTCATTCTAATTTCATGGAAGCTCTCTTTCTCTTATTTAACATAATATCCTAGATAATCATTGTCTTTTAAAACTCTCAAGAGCGTCAAGCATTTTGTCATGAAAAATTAAATTGTTACCTTCGATCACATGTTCAAGAAAAATGAATAGATAAACTAACATGTTTGTTCACCTGGCTTTACAAGAAAACTTTAATATTATTATTTTTAATGATCTACCTTTAAGTTGTCGATCTTTCATAAAATCTAACATGATCTTTCATGAACTTTAACATGATCTGATTATTGTTTTTTTTTTTTGCATGAATTTTCCGTGACCTTGTAGTAAAAAAAAAAAAAGACATACTATTTAAGAGATTGTTTTCTCCTAATGAAGTTTTTCATGTATATGCTTGTTCTAATCGAACCTGTAATAATTAGGATCGTATCTTACAAAATGAATAAAATCAAAACGACAAGGTTTTTGGGCTTGATCTCTAATTGCACAAGCCCATGAGAGCTCTGCCAATTTCTTAACTGTAATTTACATATGATACACAAAGTAAACGAGAATGGGTCAAACAACGAACAAGCAGGGTAAACAAGAATGAAGCAATCTCAAGAACATAGAAAGCTTCACAGTACCTTCAGCAAAAAGTAATTCCAAACGAACACGGAAAATTTGTGAATTCAGTTAGATTACCACTTCCAAACAATTATAATCACGTCCTGATAATATCAAACACATGGCCCCATCTGGTTTGCCTCCATCAAAATAGAAACTTAATTTATTACACGAAATTCATTGCATGCATTTCATCATCATCGTTATCATTACTTGATAATAGTTATCTTTTCATCCTTTTTAATTCATTCAGTAATATACTGTAATATAATTTTATTTCGAGTATTATGGAAATAAAAATAGCTTTGAATTACCGTGATAAAAAGATATGAGCATGTGCAGAATGTCTTACCTTTTTTTTAAATCTTTTTATTTGTTTAATTATATTTTACGAAGTTTTTTACCATTGGGGTGATTCCAAGCATTTTGATCTTTATGTGGCAGAAGAGCAAAATGGCACAAAAAAAAAACAAAAAAAAAATCATATATTTTGATATTTCAATCCCCAGCCCTCCCGGCAACTGAAACGTGTCAAGCGGGGCGCAAGGCAGGGTTTGAGAAACGACCAATCGTTCAAACCTGAAATAAAATTATCAAATCCAAAAATTATTATTTTTCACCTTGGACCAAAAAAAAAAAAAGAAGGAATCCGCACAATGCTTTCTACGTCTTGTACAAATACGCTCAATCTTCTCCCACAATCTCGCCCCTCCTTTTGGTCCAATACGAAACTATGCTTAAGTTCTTACTCTCACTGATTTCCTTGTCTGTAATTGGCCAAATTCTACTTTCCCCCACTCAAATGAATGCTCGTTGAATCCCAATTTTCCTCCTCATGCTCTCCGTCCACCTTTTCTCGGGAACCAAACACAATCTCATTTGATTGGGTTCTGATCACTGATGGGTACCGAGAACCTGCCCATGCTTACAACCCGCTTTGATTCCATCAGAGCACGTTTTGCAGATAATTTTGTTCCCACAAGCATGCGCTGGGTTGTCAATTCTCTCCGAACTTTCATTTGCAATTATGTTCTTTACTCGTTCGGGTTAATGCTCCAGTTTATTTTCAGGTTTGTTGAGTTTTCTGATCTGGGTTTATTGACATTTCGAGGATCTTGATGAATTATTTAACTGATTCCTTTTATTTTATGGGATTTCAGAATTCAAATAGCAGATGGGAAAAATGAGCTTTCAGCTCAGCTTGAGGATTCTCATATTGATGGGTTCAGAGAAGAACTGATTAATTTCCTGTTTCCGAGTGATGAATATGTCGACGAAGATGGTCTAATGGAGTCCGTCAATGATTTTTCTGTAGATAGCATGACTGAGAGTTCAGTTTCAGAAAAGGCTGACTCAAATAATTTTGAAGAAGCAGATTTCTCTGTTTCTATGAATGAAGAAGGAGAAGAAGGATTCGATCCTAACATGAAGAAGATTAAGTCAGATTTTTATGATGGTGGTGTCAGGAACGAAAAAGAAGGAACAGAGAGCTCTGTTCTCATGGTGGGAAGCTCCAAGGTTCATGAAGATGATATGAGAAGAGTAGAAGAAAAACCAGAGTGCTCTTTTATCATGAAGGATGAAGTTGTTCATGGAAATAGTAAGAGGAGGGAAGAAGAAACAGACATGTGTGCTTTAATGGAGGGTGAAGAGAGTGAGAAGAAAGAAGACAACGAAGAAGATGAAACAGAGGGCCCTGCTTTAATCACCAAAAAGTTTGAATACGTGTCAGGAAGGGATATTATTGGGTTCGAAGAACCAACAACAACAATGACCTTTAGTTTTAGGGAATTTTTTGTGGGTCCATATGTTTCCGACACACAAATCTCAGAGCTCAAATCAGAGAAAGAAAAATCTCCTGGATCACAGAGTTTTCAAGAATCTCATCCTTGTCTAAATGGCTCTGAAGCGGAAATTTTGGAGCTTAAATTAGTACAAGAACCAGTCGTTCAAGAAGTAGCAAATAAAGAAGTTTCAGAGCTCGAATCAGAAGATGAACAATCTGTTGGAGCGCAGAATTTTCAAGAATTTTATCTATCTCCAAATGGCTCTGAATATGTTCAAGAGCATGGTTTTCCAGGTTTTGATTCAAGTCCAAATGTTTCAGAAACAGAAATTTGTGAGTTCAAGTCAGAGGAAGACCATGTTCTTCAAGAAGAAGAAAAAGATGGATCTGTTCAAGAGCAGAGGATGTTCCATGGCCATTCTAGTTCTGATCAATTCAGCCTAAAAAGTGAGATCTTTCGATTTAGAGATTCATCTGATGAAGATGATTTGGACTTCAATGACAATTCATTCGAGTCTGATTCTGAATCAGAATCATCCAGCTCGAGTGGTCTCATATGGGCCAACAGTGACAAAGCTGATGACTTGATCACATACGAGTTTCTAGCATATCAAAAAGGTTTTGAAGGATTGGAGCCTGAGACCCTCAAGTTGATGGAAAAGCTAAGAGCCATAGATGAGTTCATTGAACTAGCACCTGGGAAACCTGAGAATGAAGATGAAAAGAAAGGTTCAAATGATTCAGAGAAAAAATTGGGTGAGTTAGATTCTGAAGAAGAAGATGATGATCAGGATGATTTTGCATGGGATGATGATGAATTGGTACAACAAATGAAAATGGAAATGAGAAATGCAAGACAAGGAGGGCTTCCTACAATTTTAGAGGATGAAGAAGAAGAAGAAAGAGAGTCCCCAAAAGTGGCTGAAGATCTAAAGCCACTGAAGATTGAAGAGAAACTTGAATTCAGAGATCATATCAGAGATATCCAGAAAGTTCACAGGAGTTACGAAGAGAAAATGAGGAAGCTTGATATCTTGAACTACCAGACCCTGCATGCTCTAGGTAACAACCAAGCCAAACTTACAAACTACCTGTTTCCTATCTTAAATATTATTTTGGTCTTTTATTTTTCTGAAACTTCTTCAAGGATTATAACAGTAAGTGTTAAATCAGAACACTTTAATTTAAGATTGCCAATTGAAGTTCTTTCTTCTGCTGCATTTCTTCAAGTTTTCACTCGGTACCATTGTATGAGAACATAACTTTCGTCCTTTGAGATACATACAAAGTGGGTTTCTACTTTCTACCAATTTTGCAGTCATCATGGTTGCTAGTCCTGTACACATAAATCTATTCATAAGTCATAACCAGTGGCAAGTCTATATCAGAAGCTTCCCTTTTTCCCCTTTTAATTTTTAAAAAAGAAAAAAACATGCTTGTTCTACCATTCCTTCTCCTTTTTTTTTTTTCTTTTCCCATGGGTTTCTGGAATCCAATACAAGGATCCATCCAATAAGGTTCCATAGAAGGAACCTTCACATACCAGCTTTTGACCAAGTTAGGTTTGAACTTTATAATATTAAAACGCAAGAAAAGCAATAACAGAGAAAGAAAGCGTCAAAGAAACCAGTTTCTTTAACAAAATTGGATCTTCTTTCTCTAACTTTAGGGTCAACGTGTAGGTCTACGGCAATTGAAAGAGCCAAGTGCGAAGCCTATGATACTGAAGAATTTATTGTGGTCAAGCAAAGATGAGAGGTTGATGAAGAAGAAGAAATCGTCGGAGGGGGTAGAGAGTTTGGTGGAGGAGTTGGAAATGGTGTATGTGGGACAGGTTTGTCTGTCGTGGGAGATTCTATGGTGGGAGTACAGGAAGGCGATTGAGTTGAAACAGTGCGACAGAGAATGGGGTCGCCGGTACAATATGGTGGCCGGAGAATTTCAACTGTTTCAAGTGCTGTTGCAGAGGTTCATTGAGAATGAGCCTTTTCAGGGTCCAAGGATTCATAACTATGTTAGGAACCGTTGTGTCATTCGGAATCTCCTCCAAGTCCCCGCCATTAAAGGTTAGTAAAATAAAATTATCCATTTTCACATTGATTGATAGCAAAAGGGAAAAAGTATACGATGATTATGGGAAAATCACTGTTATATGGCACATGAACAATTTAAATAAATACAAGTTTTATGTAGTTACAAAATTCCTCTGAAATTTCATGTTTTTCACTGAAAATATTGATTTTTTTTTTGCATGAACTGAAAATAGTTATCAATTATTATTGAATAGTTATCAATAGAATTGTTCAATTAATAACTAAGAAGTGATAATTAACAAATATTTAATAGTAATTGACTTCCGACATTGATCTGAATTTTTTGGTATTTATATTGTTTGTGTGCAATGTCAAAGTATTTTTTCATAACTATATTCATGTCATGAAGTGATTTCTCCATTTAAAATTTAGCAATTATGATAGTAACTCATCTTTTAAGTGCTATGTAATGTCCTAGTTTTACACTAATTGTCTATTTAAAAAAATAAAATGAAAAAACAGCTAAAATTGAAATTTGGGCTTGAATATAGGCCCAGAGCACAGCTTAAACTTTTGTCACAAGCCCAACTTCATTTGGGCCCAAAAAACAAGCCTGAAGAGGAGATTTTAACTCGCTTTGTGCAGATGATAGCATGAAGGAAAATAACGTGATGACAAAGGATGAAGAAGATGCGGTCTCAAGTGAAAGATTAGCAGAAATCATCAGAGAATCCATGTACATCTTCTGCAAGTTTGTCCGAGCCGACAAGCACGACATGAATACCAACACCTTCTTCAAAGTTCCTTACCAAACCAAACCAACCCATCTCAAAGACCCAGCAATTTCTCATCTTCTCACAGACATTCAAACCCAACTCCACAAGGTTTGACTATAAAAACCAAACAACCCTACAGCCTCAGAATCCAGGTGCTTCTTCTACATATGTATTAATGTTGATTGTTTTGTTTTGGTTTATGACAGAAGGAGAAGAGGCTGAAGGACCTAGTGAGAAGCGGGAACTGCATAGTGAGGAAGTTCCAGAAGCAGAGTGAAGAAAAAGTGGAACTTGATCATGAGCAGATGGTGGCTCAGGTTCAGTTGAAGTTGATATCAAGGGTTCTGAGTCTGTCAAAGTTGAGAAAAGATCACTTAATTTGGTGCAATGATAAGTTAAAGAGGATTTCATTTCTTGACAGGAAAATCCAAGTGGAGCCCTCCTTTTTGCTTTTTCCCTTCTGATCCACTTCATGTGCATACTTTTTTACACACATGATAATCATACATAGACAAGATCCATACATACTAATTGTTACTAGCTACAGCTAGTTTCTTTCTTAGGCAAATAAATTTGTACTTGCTCACTGTCATGTTCTCTTACATTATGGAAATCTAACCAATATGAACCTATGTTCCTGGGATAAATGTCATGATTAATGATATCTTTATTTCAATTCTAACTATATCATTTTATGGTTTTTTTTTAAAAACCTTTTGATTTGAGCAATCCTTAACTAAAATCAATTAATATTATTTTATATATTCATTTTTCATAAATACTAATAAAGTAATAATTATACCCTCTTTTTGTGAGGGAGAAAGAGTGTACTAATATTTTTCATCTTTTTATCTTGACCTTTCTGTATTACTAACAAGATAATTCTGCTGTATTGTAACAGTTGCATGTGCTTTTTAAAAAATATTACAGAAAACCATACTGTAAAAATGATAGGAGAATTATATTGGGCCAATGATTAAGATGATTGATTGTTGTGTTATAATATCTATATTTTTTTTTAATTCAAGCCATATGCTAGCATATAGAATAAACTAACATAATTTAGGGAGAATCACAAATAAAAACGCAGCTGGGAAAAAAAGAATGGCTCCTAAGAAAACATGTTGTTTTCTCCCCAATTTTAATTGCTATATCATTTGTGAAGAATTGAGAAAAAATACAAGATAATAACAATGTAAGTTTAAACTGAAACTTTAACTTGAAAATCGCAAGATTCTAAGGAAACTTGACTTGTATCAAAATTCTAATAAATTATCAAGATGAATTACATAAATCATTTTTCAAAATAATATATTTTTAATTTCATCAAAATAATTTATTCTTAATATTAGATATATGTCTGGTGGTACGTAATGTATGATTATTTTTTAAATTTTATTATTGTTTAAGACCATTTTATTTAAAATTTTTTAATAAAAAATGTTTTTTGAAACTATATTTTATAAAATTCTATAATGTTTGTTTGAACTTTTGAAAATAATAATCTAAAAAAATTAATTTTTTAATTATTTTTAAAAATCACTTAAATAATCTTATATCATAGATGTGAGAAAATATGATAAAAGTATGGGAATATAAAAAGATATTATAAAATTTTAAAATATCTTAATTATGAACAGGGATATCAAAAAGTGTAAAAATAAATAAAATTTTTATACAATATCTACAATATAAATGTATTTTTATAAAATATCCAAACTATTTATAAATTATTTATTTTTAATTTTAAATAAACATATTCCTAAAATAATAGTATTAATGATTATTAACAAAGAAAATAATAATAAAATCTCTTCAAATTATATAAATAACAACTTAATCCCATGAAATACTATAATTTTATTGAAGTAAATTTTAAATTAAAAAGACTATTTTACCTTTATTGATAAGTTATAATTTCTTATTTGATTCTTGTAATTTTTTGAATAAAAATTATTATTCTTTAACAAAAGTTATAATTGAGATTTGTTATTTTGAGAATTTATTTTTCAATAACGGAAGTTACACTTGAGAAGTTATAATTTTTTATTTAATTTTTACGATTCACAAAACAAAAGTTATTAATTCTTAAACAAAAGTTGTGATCATGACTTGTTTTTCAATAACATAAATTGTACTTGATAAGTTATAATTTTTTATTCAACTCTTTCAATTTATAAAATAAAAGTTATTATTTCTTAAGTAAAAGTTGTGATTGAAACTTGTTATTTTTAATAAGGGTGAAATGGTCCTTTCACTTTAAAATTTATTAACATAAAAGTTTTTAAAAATTTCAGTGAAATTATAACATTTTGAGGGATTAAATTATTATTTATATAATTTAGAAAATTCTACCGTCATTTTTCCTTGCTAATATTAATAAATATAATTTTCACTTTTGAAATTTATTACACACTAAAACTGGCTTTTTCACTGAAATGCTACTGATAAAAAAAGAAATTCTTGAGATGCTATAGTTTGAAAACTATTTTCCAACATATTACAAATAGCAAATTGGTTTCTACCAACCCAATTTCAAAGTTGTCAGAAAAGTTTTTTTTTATTAACATATATTGCACTTGGTTTTATGGAAACCAATTGCAAGAAATAAAATGTCATGAAGTGAAATCGGTCGCTGTTAGGCTGATTTCACTATAATTTTTTAAAAAAAGTTGCTGCAGCTACATTGTGGACGTGACACCATTGTAGCTCTAGCAATTTAGACTTGACACTCCATATGCTTAGTCAAGTTTCAATATGCGCAAGAGAATATAGTCTTCCTATTTCGTAGACTAGTAAACCAAAAAGAAAATCAGATTCTTATATGCATGTGAATGTTCTGCATGCGTACATGCCTGTATCAGCTTTTTTAAGAGACACGTGCAACTACAATTGCCCGCTATTGGACATAAATAGAGGCTAAGTTATGATGAACCAGTTTTAGTTTCATGTTTCCATTTTTTTCCCGCGCATTCTGTTTTGCATTTGCTCCATTTTCTTCTTTGTTTGTCTTCTTTTCACCATTTCCCTTTTTTGCACCATTTCCTTGAAGTCCAGCAAGTGTTGCCCCTCGCGAAGATCTCTGACATCAATTTAGACAGTGTACAAGCACAGATATTTTAATATTTTAATTATCATATGATTTTAATATTTTAATTATGATAAAAAAAGTGGTTAATTCTTTTTAGACTTAAATTCATTAAACTTCTCTAAATTTTAATGCACATAACACCGCTAACATTTAAAACTTAATTAAGGACCACCCTAATGTTTTTTTAATCGATAAAATCCCCTTCCCTTAACAGAATCGTTAAATTACTAATGGTCTTTGCCCCTTCAATTTTTTTAAGATTTTATTCAACAGTTGTTATTTAAATTGAAAAAAAACAAACAAACAAGTTAGATTGCATAGGTGCCACCATTGCTGCCAGATGAAGTTCTTCCTTGACTTTCGTTTTCAATTGGGAAAATAAGTAAGAAATTTTGGAGAAATAATTTCTTGTCCAGTTCTTAGTCCTTCACTTTGAGTCTTGAAATAATTTCTCATTTCATCACACGCCTCCCCTCTTTTTATATATTTTAGCCTTCTTTTTATGTATGATTAGAGATTTTCTATTAGTAGGATTAGATATTTATGTAATTCTAGCCAAGTAATATTTTATTTTGATGCTAATGTTATGTTATATGATTATCATGAGATTTAATATTTTGATTTTGATAAAAATGGTTAATTTTTTTATTAGTTAAGGTTGTTTTATAATTTTTATATGCTTTGTGTAAATTTGCCTAACATGGGGGATATAATAATTACGCTTTTGAATATGAAGGACTCTCGAATGAAGAATTCATGACCCCACAATATTTATTCCTCCCTTTTGTAGTCTCCTATTTTTTATTTGAATATACCACCAGCAGTACCAACTATGGAATTGTCATAATTTCAACATGAAAAACTTACAAGATAAGGGCAATGATGGCCACAAAATGTATTATAAGAAAATCAAGATGTAGCACATGAAGTTGTTATGTATAAATTTTGTTTTTATGCCAAAAAATTAATATTTAATTATTATTATAAAAATTTAGCAATTTTTTATTATTACTATCTCATTTATTGTTTTATGTTTTTTAAATTATTATTTGTTACCCTTCAATTTAAATTAATTATTAATTATAAATAAATTATTATGATTTAAAATAAAAAAATTATTTGGTAGCTTATCATTCATTAATAATTACGTCATCAATCATCTTTGAAGAAAATCAATTAGTAATCATAAAAGCAATAATTTTTAACAATGACTAGAGGGGGTTCTGAGTAATGGAAATCTGTTTTATCAAAGCCAAGTTTTGGATTATCAAAAAACTTAGCTTGAATCAAACCAATTTGTGTACAAAAATTATCTTAACCCTCCTCAGTTTTTATCAAACTGATTTTTGAGTTGTACCATTTTGAATTTTTTTTTGTTTTGTACTATCTTAATAATTACTTTTTTTTTACCCATAGCATGCTGGGATTTTTTCCGCTAAAACTAATTGTCTGATAGACGGCAGATTGATCGTGCTTCCTGGATCACATTGCAAATATCTTTCTTTCTTCGGTTAATTTTTTTTAAAAATGAAAATGGGACGAATCTGTAGTCGTCCATTTCCCATGAAGCACGTTGGACCGTTAGATTTAGGTCATGCGCTACCCTTTTATGCATCTGTGCGGCGCCGATGTTCGGTCTCTCCCTGCGGCTACCTTCTCGTCAGAAACCCTACGCAAGAAGCAGGCGGAGGTAGCTCAAGATGGTGCAGCGTCTCACATATCGCAAGCGTCACAGCTATGCTACCAAATCCAACCAACATAGGGTTGTCAAAACCCCAGGTAAAGATTTCTTCTTTCTCCGTCCCTCACGGTTCAGATTATTGATTAGTGATACGAAGCTGCTAGGCCTTTGATTCCTGACACTGAACTACTTAAGGTTGCCTGTTCTTAAGGTTTTTCTGTTTAATGGTTGAAAATGTAGGTGGTAAGCTCATTTATCAGAGCACTAAGAAGAGGGCCAGCGGCCCCAAGTGCCCTGTCACAGGCAAGAGGATTCAAGGGGTATGCTTTCTGTTTATTCTAAGTTCCTCTTTTAATTATTTGGGCTGAAAAAGATCAAATTTTTTTTATTTTATTTGTCATGTTTTGATTTTGATCGGTTGAGTCGGATACCATGTTTTCCGAGCTTAATCTGCCAAATGTTCTTTTTCTTCTTCGGCTTGCACGCATTGGGGTTAAACAATCTTGTTAACTGTTATCTCCACATGTATTATCCGCGTTTCAACAATTCGTATTCAATATGAATTCGATACTGAAGTTATTATCCTTAAATGCATATGTTTTCAATAGTGTGAGCACCTAGCAACCCAACCACATGAGATACAAGAGTAGATTATTGAATTTCGTGAAAGTTGGAAGCTTCCATAGTTTATATATAGTTTGTATCCTTACCTTAGTTTATTCGAAAGTAAGACTCTTGTTTTAATGGGGATAGATGAATTGTTGTTGTGGAATGTAGATCAAGCACGGTGAAAAGTGGATTGATGTTTACTGGGTAACTGCTTTAGTGAATTGATGCTGAAGGTTGACTTGGGTATCACAATACTGGAAGTTGGATGTGTTAGTTTCACCACTTTCCATAGTCTATACTATTCCAGTTTTGAGTGTTAGCTCGTATTATACTGGGAACAGCAACGACGATAATTTGTGTTGGTTTCTGAGAAGTTTATGAACACAAGACATGATGTTAATTTCTGTCGATTTCTGAAAACTTGTGAACGGAAGACATGGTGTCTATTATGTTCTTGTTATTATTGGATGTGTTACGTTTAGTTTGTAGAATGATAATTGTTTGGTTGGTTTAACTCAGGCTCTCTGCATGTTTGAATTTGAATATCAGTATCTTCCTCGGACTATATTCTTGGTCCTAGTTTCTTATCTGATTTTCATTTGTGATTGTTTTTATTCTAAACACACCTAAGCTGCATGCTATTTATTTGCTCTAGCCATTACTTCTACTTAATTTGAGCCATATTTGATAGAATTTTATCTGTCTTCTAGACAATGTGTCTTTTGATTTGTTAGGTTAGTGTTGTGATTTAAGCTTGATAACTATTGTAGATTCCACACTTGAGGCCTGCTGAATACAAGAGATCAAGGTTACCTAGAAACCGAAGGACTGTGAACCGTGCATATGGTGGAGTTTTGTCTGGAGGTGCCGTTAGAGAAAGGTTTGCGTTGCTCCACTTTCTAGGCCTTTTAGAGGTTCTTTCACCAGTTTTCGTTCACATTCTGAATTTGTATCTAAACATTGCTCTTTGTTCCTGCAGGATCATCCGAGCCTTCTTGGTTGAAGAGCAAAAGATTGTGAAAAAGGTGTTGAAGATTCAGAAGGCTAAGGAAAAGCAAGCCTTGAAGGGTTAAAGCTTGGGCAAAGAGCAAGATAAGGATCTTTTTTGAGGATTTTTAGGCTTGGGTGATTATAAATATCACAATATTTTATTAGAGTCTTTCCCATGTGGGGATTATGTTTCTTTTGCATGTTTGAACTCATTCTAGAGCAATTAACTTTGTCGACAACTCCATTATGATACAGTTTTGTCTCAGTTTCCTCTCAGTTCTATCTTGTTTTTAACTGTTTAGTTCGTTATTAGTTGGTAAATAATATGAGTCGTTGGTTTTAATCAAATTTACTGGTGTTGCAAATGAACAAAATTTTCTGATATGAACAATCAAATTACTTTGTTCATCAGCAATTCTACGCGAATGTCTGTAGTTTACTAGTTATAAACTTATAATGGAGTCCCTAATTTAGTAATTAGTCCAACTTTAATAGCCTATTGCTAATGTAACATGCCTGATGGAGGTCCTAATTTGGCATGGAGCTTGAGTGCAGTTGAATAGAGATTGAGAAATGGCACGCGTTGCTTGGTGATTAAGAAATAAGTTTTATGGTATCGATTGTTATGAGTTCTGTATCAGGAAGTCTTAACGGAGGTGGTCTTTCTACCTAATGGACGAGTGATTTGAGATGAGTTTTCCTATTTGACTTGTAATTGTGTTTTTTATTGAAAGACTAGGGTCATGAAGAGAACTATCTATCCATCCCAAGTTGAGGGAGTTTTTTTGCCTGATGAACTAGTGTTTTGGGATGAGATTTCTTGTTCAACTTGTAATATTGGCGTATTCGTCAAGAGAATTAAATCATGAAGAGGGCTATTTATAGTCGGTTGATTGAAATGGGGTGCAATTTTTGAGAATGTCTCACAAACAGATTTCCATAGGGAGGTTAATAAGTTTAGACAAATTGTTTTTAATGCTTTGGAAAGCAGAAAAGCTTTAAAACTTGTTTGAACTAGTGTTTTTTATTTAATTATTTTTAAAAGTGTTTTTATAAAAACAACTTTAAATTATTTTCGTTTTATTTTTTATTTTTAAAATAATTACATTTAATTAATAAAAATTATAGTCACTTTAATCAATTTTTGTTATTAATCATCACTATTAATTATTTATAATCATCACTATCAGTTTATTTTTTTAATTTTAAAATTATTTTAATTGACATAATTAAATGGATTTTTTTTATTTTATTTTGAAAAATAATTTTAAAAATTATATAATAAAATAATTTTTAAAAATAAAAAAATGAGAATAGAAATCAAAGAGACCCTGACTTTCTCTCTAGCTGGATTTTCATTTTATATAGGTTTGGATGAAAACATGGATTAGGCCCAGTTTGGCCCAATTACATTTTGACTTGGTCCGCTTAAGTTTGACTAAGAATGTGTGGAATTGGTCTGGGGTGATTTTGCCCTACGCTTTGCGTTTGCTGCTGATACACCTTAAAATTAAATTCAAAATATATTCTCTTCAGAACTCTTAACCGAACCTCATTGAGTGTATGCAAGCTCGCCCGAATATACTTAACCAAACCACACTGCTGAAGCAGAAAAATTCTCCCCACTTTATCATTGACTCTTGTATTGTTGGAGAGTCACTTTTATTTTCTACTTCTGAATTCTTAAAGCTAATTATTGTTTTTTGAAATTTTAAACAAAAGAAGTCATGTGTGCCTCATCTATAACTAACCTCTAAGCTTAAGCAACTTATTAATTACACAAGTCTTTTTATTAAATAACTTGCTAGAGAGAAAGAAACATTTATTATGAGTCTGTCTTATTTAAAGAATGAAATTAAATTAAAATGAAACATAAATAAAGTTACAGATTCCTGTTTGAACCAAATCAAATTAAAAGACTAAATTATGCATAAAAAAATTTTAAGAATTTAAAAAGTTTTAGACATAAAATTTTAAAATAAAAATTATATTTTGTCCATAAAAGTAAATCAATCTCTTGTCATGAACAAATTGATCCTTCAGCAACCAAACAAAAAAATAGAAAATAAAAAAAAAAGAAAAGGAATAGGCACTGTTATTGTTTCTTTCTTCTTCGGGTGGTTGAACTTCCCCTAAAATTGCGGGCGATTTTGCATTTCTGTTTGTTATTTTGTGAGGGTTAGTTAAAGTTCTATTGTTTCATGATGTGGCTTGCCATTTTCAATCGTGCTTCTGTCAAATTCAACATGGGAATCTAAATTGACTTTTCTTTTATATTTTTTATAATATACTTTTCTCCCATTCTAAACAACTCACCCTCAACTACATCAAGAAAATCAAGAAAAGTATAGTTATTTGAATAAATTAGTCTTAAAATTAATGAAGTTTCATTTATATCTTTAATTGACCCAATCAATTTTTTTTTTAAAATTCCCTCTTGCAATAAGAACTAATGGGGCAGGGTGTAGCAAAATGAATTAGTCATTTGTAACATAATAAATTAAAATTTGAATATGAAAATGTGTCACAATTAATACCTAACTGTGTCTTGAATAAAATTAATTTTTATAAAAAAATAACTATGAACAATTATGAAGAAATTGTAATAAGATAATTTTTAAATACAAACATTCAAAAATTTATGCAAAATGACCTAATTTAGAACCAGAAATTTCTTATAAAACATGACCTATGTTTTACCTTTTCATTTCAGAATTTCTTATAAGGCATTTTTAAATAGATATGATGTTTATTTACTTGGAATTAATGAGATTTTTCCAAAAATTTGATAAGCTGTCAATTTTATCCCTTTAAATATGCATAATTTAACAAATATTTTCTCTCACCAATAATTAATAGAAGATAAAAAGAAAAACATGTGATAAAAAATTAATATCATACTTTATAAATAGGATAAAAAATAATTCCCCATTATAGATAGGATTAGAGGGAGAATTGTGATTAAGTGAAGGTCAATGTTAAGAAAATCAGACTGGCCATTGACCTTATCAAGATATCAGTTCATGATTCAATGGTTGAACCGCAATCTAAACTGTAATTTAATTGGTCTTAAATAAATTAATTTATTTTAAATGATATAAGCTTAAAAAAAGAAACAATTATATATAATAATAATAATAATGAACATTTAAATTTCAGTCAAAATAATATAAAATAAAAAGGTAATATCCATCAATATTTTATTTTAATAAAAAATAGATACTTATTTCATAATTTATAATTTTAGAGTATCTACATACGTGCATGTATGTATGTATTTATTTATTCTGTACATATTTCTTGTATATTTGTTCATTTTTTATTTATGAATGCTATTAATTATAAATATGTGTAAATTTTAGTTTATAAATATGAATTAAATTTTTTTAAAGAAATAAAATATTTAAAAAATAACAAAACTGATTCAACTAGTTTTCTTGCTGGTTCTATTAATGTTGACTGATTCAATAAGTTTTTTATAGATTCTCTAACTAGTTGATTTTTAATTATAATCAAATTAGGTTTATGATTGATTCTTGATTTAGCCAATTGAATCGACTGATTTGATCCTATTTTCATTATATTGATTATGATAGTAAATAAGAATAGAAATGAAAAGCATATGCATAATCCGAAAATTCCGTATAACTATTATTTTGAGTTTAATAATCTCATGGTAAGTTGTGTTGAATGTTTCTTTGGAAGAGAATGAGTGGGGAGCTATCTTCCAATCTTATATACCTCAATCTATATTAATTATTCGCACTCTCAAGTTCATTGACATTAATTGACATGCGTCATATGTGATTAAACAAATACTATACTAGTAATTACTAAAATTGTTTATGAAATTTGTTATTGGTGTGCGCGGATTCAATTAAAATATGCACACAAGGATTTTAAAACACACAAAATTAGTGACGGAGGGACAGAATGGGGTAATGAGAATTGAGAAGTTTACAAATCTATGTTCTTGATTAGTGAGATGATCCGATCGGTTTAGAAAATATGAAATTGAAGGTTGACCCAATCTTTGATATTTTTAATTATTTTGCGTGAAATATTATTTTTTTAATCCAAAACTAGAGAAGACAGCGGTCACTCCGCATTGTGTTCGTGCCCTCTTGTCCACAGGAGTCAACTTACTTGTTCAATGTTGACCTTCCCTCTTCCAATTTTCCTTTCACATCATAATAATAATAATAATAATAATAAATCCCATGGATTAGCCAGCACGATAGATTATTTTCTTTCATTTTAAATTTAAAATGGTGTTGGGTCATGATGCTGTCGGCATGATGTCTTTTTGCATTTTTTATTATTATCACGGTTTAACGTTTTTAAAAGTAAATTTAATCCAGAAACTTTTTTTGTGCCAAAAAAAATCCAAAAAAAAAAATTAAAGGCATATATCCCCTCATTAAAAAAATAAAATATTTTTAATTAAATTTTACCTTTAATAAAGTAATTACCTATTTTCAAACTAACTATGTCTTTAAATATTTATCACTATTAAACACCTTATAATAAATATAAAGTCATTCGTTAATAGAGATACTTAAAAAAATAATAATTATATCTCAAAAGATTAAAATTTTTTTATATTTTTAAACATTCAACTTCTCAAAAAATATTTTATATTTTTTTAAAAATATTTAGAAATTGAGACACAAAACATTTGTTGATGAGATAGAAATGTAAGTAGAGGTTAAGAGATTAAATTTGAAAGTTATCATATCAACAAAATCGAATCTAAATCTTTATGTAATATGGGACCAAATTTACATCCTAATTAACTAAAACCTTTAAATCCTAGATTTCTATTGCCCTCCATCAATATTTGAATTTTTTTACCTGAAATATTTCTGTTAATTCATTTCAATTAATGTGGATAGCCACAAAAGTTCAATGGAATATTAAGTGAAGCAAACCATTCAAATTCTTCTGGCCTGCTACTTGTTCCAATTATATGGCCGTATTTTTTTCATAATCTTTTATTTTTATATAAATATAGATTATAATCTTTCTTAATTTGACATTTGGAGGATTTGGAGGATCATAACTAAATCACAAACTTAAATACATTACGTAAAATATATTTCAAAATTTCTTCACACAAACTCTTTGTTTTTAAATCAAACACGTTTTTTATAGTATACGAAACCCTGCAAATAATTACTACAAATGGTATCAATTTTTATGAATTTTAATCAATACTCATTACTTTCATTATTTAAATATCAGTTTCATAGTATTTTACAATGGGGGGTTTCAGA